GCGCAGTCTGCCCTGGCCCTCATCCTGCACAAACAATCTGCTTTACGGCGGTATGCGTCTCCTACTGCCTATCTACTGGTCCCAAGTAGCTAGTACAAAGTGGCACCGTTAGTATTTGTTTGGTATTGAGGGAGTATTCCAATATCTTTGTATTTTTTTGGTATTGAGGGAGTATTCCAACATCTTCGTATTCCTGTTAATGCGAAGGAATAAGCTATGCGAGAGCAGAGCACTTCTATGAGCTTGCAACCACACCGGGAGAGTTCTGACTTTTAACAATCTTAGTAAAATATCCCGTAAAATATTGCCTTCGGGGGCAATGTTAAAACAATACGTTTACCATTAATAGTACACGTACGTTGAGCGATGCAACTTCCCAACTGCTATTCAAAGCGCGGCTGTGCCGCTCCGTCACCCGGGGTCGTCAGCCCCCTTCGCTGTGCACTTCTGCAGCGCGCAGGCGAAAGGCCTTCATGAAAGGGCGCCGAGACCTGCCGCGCGGGCGGGAACGCGCTGCGAAGGCAGCAGGGGAAAGGGCAGAAGCACAACAAGGGGTGGAGGCTAGGCAGGAGCCTCTAAAACAACGCATTGGTGCTGAAGTTAGCTGAACGCAAGTAAGAACTATCAGTTCCGCTAGCGCCTAAAAAATTATTTTTCATTCTTGTGCAAGGCTTTCCGGGAGACGATATTCAGCTGCCTTCTGGCTCTCCTCTTCCAGCTATTTAAAGAAAAGGGTAAAACGTGCCTTCTTTGTGGTGGACATGACACGAGCCCCCTTGGTGGCTCCAGGAGGGGCGAGAAGCCCCCGGCAGATGGTGCTGTGCTCCTGCCGCTGGGCAGAGGATTTCTTCTTTCGCCGGAGTGATTTTGCATCAGGTCTCAAAGAGCGCAGGGCACCCTCTGCTCCGATGTACAGCAGGTATCCCCTGCTGCATGTTCCTGTTCCCCTGTACTCTCCCAAAGGTACTGTAAACCTCACTCAGTTCACATCAGTTAAATCCTTTGAGATACACAGTTAAAGGACCACAACGTAGATTTAAATGTATACACGTAACTAAACATATTTCATAATTCAAATAAGCAGCAGTGAGTATTCATAAATACGATAAACTGCTTGTCAGTTCACTGCCTTTTTATAACTCTTCTTGCTTTACTCATGTTAAGTAAATAGTCACTGACTTTGTAATACAATCTTCAACTAGCAGCTCTTGCACAGAGCTCATATTTGGGTTCTACATCTCCCTACAAGTAGTCTGGACTTACAAACGCCCAGGGGCTTGAGTGGCTTTAAACATGGGCATACCTGCAAAGTTAAGTCATCTGGTCAGTAAAGCCACAAGGATGAAAACAGGGTTCTTCTTGTCCGTGATACAAAGGAGAGCGTGCTGGCAGGTATCCAGTACTAAATAATACAGAAATAGGTGAAGGGTCCGTAAAAAATATTTCTTCAACGTTTTGTCTTCAGTGAATTTTCAACTCAGAATTAACATGACTCTATGGAGCAGACCTACATTCCTTAGTACGGAGAGACCGTGCATGTTCCTCATGACAAACAGCACCTCAGTGCTTTTAGGTTATGAAGACTAAAGTGGTTTTATAGGATACAGCTACCAAGATAGAAACTTTGGTCCCAATCCAGTGTGGTTATTATTAATAAGTAACATATAACATATGTTAAAGCAAAAGCTGTCAAATCTGGCTGACAACTATTCACATCTCAATCGTATAACTTGGCAACGTGGGTGTTTTTTCCATGATATAAAGCAGTTCCAACCAACTGCAAATTGTACTTCACAGAAGGTTCAGTTGCAAGCAGATGCCAACTCATCCTGTTCAGCTGGAGACATACACAGTACGTGAACAGAGTAAAGAACCAATTTTTTTGAATTACAAAAATGCTGTTTTCTTTACTTGGCACCAGGGGCAGCACAGGGGTGCAGAGAGTGCTCACCTGGTAAGTACCACAGGGTCCAACAGTTGTATCCTCTCAAGACCACACAGTCTGTAAGACCTCCAGCAAAGCACACCTCCATTTGCAGAGAACAGCCACCCTCAAGAACCCATCACGAGACACAACAGAAACCAGTTCTTGTTACCCCCGTTAGTCCAGACCGGTTCAACCAGCAGCCTCTGGCTGATCTCCTGGCCAAGGCTAGGAGAAGGGGACATTCTTCGCCTAGGCAGCCAGCCAGCCCCTCGCTGCAGACCAGGCAAATGAGCTGGAGCAGGGATGGCCACGGGAGCCGGAGGTGGTGGGAGCTGCCGTTCCCTGAGCTCTCCCAGCATAAACACAGGTGGCTGTCAGAGGACCGCAGCTCATCACACCCCAGCTGCATCAGCCAATGCAAGTTTACCTGTGCGACCCCTTCCCTCCCAAGGGGAGCCAGGTACAACACTAAGGGGGTTGAGCAACATGCCAGATCCACAGCAGGGAAGTCCAGTACTGAGTATGCGCTGGGGGTAGGGACTGATGCTGCTCTGGGTCTGAATGAAGCCCATATACACACATTAGAGCCAGTGGGTGACAAATGCAAAGACCAGGCTTAGCATGAGGCTAATAATAGCCAGAAAGAGTTATTTTTGTGTGCATATATGTGTGGGTATGTGTGTGTAAAATGCTAATGCATATACATGTATCTGTCAATACGTATGCATATAGGGGGTTCATGTAAAGTAAGCCTCACAACTTTTGGATCGGCATCAGAGCTAATTAGAACAAAAAACTTCAGTGAGTTACTGTTAACACAAACATAATTGTAGGTTTAGATGCAAAATAAAAGGCTATATAAATATAAAGCTATATAAAACATAAATTACATCTAGGCACATTCGGGTTCTGTGTCTTCCTAACTCTTCCTGGGAAGAGGAAGGGAGACTAAAAAGACCTGTCTATCTCTATTTTACTTTATAATCAACTTATGTGTGAAAGAAGGCTACACCGTTTGTCTTTGAGGCTTCATCTTGTTTTACATCAGTCCTGCTTTATTTCAGAAGGAAAATCTAGATGATCGTTTTGTTATAGCGGCTTACCCTACTACTACTAGCGGCTTGCACTACTTACATCCAAATGGGTAAGTAGCCTATTTTTTCTTGCGAAAAACTACAGGCCAGCACTAAGGATCTACATTTTCCCAGAGGTTTCCGTACATTTAGAAGATGTTCCGTTGTGCTCAAGTGGAACAAGCTTCTACAGAAGAACGAGCTCATCGCTGTGAGCCAGTAAAGCAGATACAACATCAGAGGCAGCAGAATGGCACCATCTCAGACTGATGCAGAATTTCGCTCATAGTAATTTATCGTGAGTTGTTCCACATTTTCCTGACCCTGTTATAAGACATTTGGAAATGGTTTAGTACTTACCACCCTCAGGCTTTTCTACCTATTTTATCTGGCAATGCATTCTGGTTCTGCTTTTGGTGAAAAATATCAGATGATCATTTTCCAGGCAAAAACGCACGTAGACTAGCTGCACTAGCCACTCACTGTTTATTTGTCCCTTTCTATTGCAAATAGCAGTCGCTGTCATGGTAGTATAGAAAAGCTTGAATCTAGCACATGCAACATCAGTAGACCCTCCATCAGCTGAAGAATAATTCCATAAGTCTTTTCATACACTCCCTGTCTGGCTACTGGATTTCATGTCTATTTACTATTAGCAGCAGACTTCAAACTAGAATGGAGAGTTCCAATTTCCAGTTCTGCAACTGATCTGCCAGACCTAAGTTTCCTTACTTTCTGAATTGTCAGAAATAAGTGGATATTTTTTATAAAGCTTAATTATCAGGAACCAATTTCCAGTTCCTTTCCTTACAATGAATAGTATCTTACTGCAAATATCATTCCAAATATGTTCCTGACATCAATGGACCTGTCTCAGACCTGCCACATAGACAGATTCAGGTCTGCCCCACGTATGAGTTAAAGGGGGAAAAAAAAAAAAAAAAGGAACTCCCGTGGAAGAGACATCAAGGGTTTTATCACTTAGCCAGAGAGCAAGGAAGGATATCAAGGAAGCAACTTCAAAGTGCATCTGCAAGGACAATATTGCATTTGGAATACCATTAACGTTGCAGGGCTTGCTCCAAGATACTCTCATCTGCCACCTTGTGAGGGAGAGTCACCTTCAATGTGACATTCTCTTTCATTGCTTGACAGATCGTTTCATAAGCGTAGTCATTACCCGACCAGCAGCGTCTGGCAACCTGTCAGACCAGAAAATCAATGGATGTAAAAATTGTACGTTTCTCTTGCCACATCCCATCTTACCCAATATTTGTGCAAACACAGGCGCTCAATTTCACGGTAATAAATCTTCCAAGCCCTTGCCAGTTTTAAGTTTCCTTATTGATGTAGGAAATAATTTTTGTAATACCTACCTCTTCTTTCAAAGCATTTATATGAGTAGTTGTCAGATGGACTTGGTACATTTTCATACAGTAACATACTATTGGGCTGATAAGACTGGTAGAGCCAGGTACCTTATAAACAGGTACGTCACAAAATTCCCTCCCTAAAAATAATCCTGTTCTCCATCCCAGCTCTGTTAAACTAGCAGTTGTTTCAGAAAACAGAATGGTTTAAGCAATCAATGCCTTTGTGGTAGGATAAATATTAAAAGGGAAAACGTGAAGATCACTCAATGCATTTTCAAACTATGAAATCCAGGAGCCAAATTCTCTGCCAGTACATATGGGTGAAATTCCAAAGATGCTAAGGAAACTGCTAGTGCCTTCTTCCAAAGGCTAAGCTCTGCACATTGGTCTGTCTACAAGCAAAACTCCAAATGTATAAAAACACCATGATTTGGCACAAAGGAAATAAGTACTTACCTGTATTCCATAGCCATTAAGAATTACAAATCAGTGCCTGAAATATTCAGCCAGACTCAAAAGTGTTCAAAGCAAGATGATGTTTAGGTTCCAATTTAGCAATATATTTAAGCACATGATTAACATAAGGCTAATAATAAGTTGCCAAGATCACATCAGTAAGAGCTGGAAATGACCTTTTAAGTCAAAAAGTCAATTTCCCTGCCGCTCTCCTATGACTATTCCTACCTAGCAGTATATTTTCTAAGGTACGCTTCAGTCTCTTTCCAGTCTTGTATATAATATGGGCGACATTCTGAGATTGTCCTTTTTAAACAACTGTGTGGCGGAGCGGGGCTTTTGCTTACAATAAATCAGAGGAGCAAAAGATTTACTGTTTTTTTAATAGGCTGTCTATGATACACAGTGCTTGTGCAGGGTTTGCCTTCATGACTTAAATCTACAAATTAATACAGCTGTCCTCCTCCTTTTTACTCGACAGTTTACTAATGTGTTATTTCAGGTATGGGACAGGGAATACATGCAAATTGTTCTTTGCCCTCCCCACACACTTTTTTTTTCCTCTCTCCACAGAGAGCTGGGTGCTTTCAGAAAGGAAAAAATGTTCAGGTCTAACACTAGAAGAAATTCTCCAGTTCTTATGAGAAGTAAAACATCAGATCATATCAGCATCTGCAAGGAGTTCCTTTAACACATCAAGTCCTTGTGAGGTTAAGTCACTCTAAAACACAACAGGTTTTGTCCTTTACTTGGACTATGTGTCATTACATCTTATTGGATGCATTCTCTGCAAGTATTGAACCAAGACATCTTGACTCAAGAATACTGATTTCATCTGGCCGAGCTGAACAACCATTTCTGCTCGTTCAAAGACAGGATCAGAGTCTTAAATGAAAATGGGGTCCATCTAAACACTAATAGAAGACAAAAACTCATTCTAGTGTCAGCAAGGGCTGTACAAGCTGGCACTTAAATGACAACCGTTTCAAGAAATCTAAATCAAAATTTGGGATAGGCATGACTAAAGTACATATAGTTGCCAATACTATGTCAATACTATGGAGGCAAGTAAAAGCATGTAATTTAAAATGACCTGGAGCATGTTTCTTTCTGTTAAAACAAAAAACAAAAACAAAACCAAAACCCCAACCACCACTCACACTGTGATATGTGGAAATGATTGGACTCCTGTATGTTATAAAGTCAGAGAGGGTGCTCTGGACATTTTACAACAAATTCCTTACTCAAGGATTTTTCAGCCTCTTTTATTGACTCAAAGCCCATTAAAGTTAGTTGAAAAAAATCCATTGCTTTCAGTGGCACCAGGCTCATTCATAAGCAGCCCACATTAGGAGTGGATGGAATGAGTCATTCGGCCCATCAGGACTATTTCTGGGATACAAAGGGCAAGATCTCACACTCTTGCCTGGGTGCTCATACTCCCATCCAGTTAAAACGGGTAGGAGCATAGGAATCTGAGTACCTGAATGAAGCTAGCCCCAGGTGAAGGCGCATTTTAAGGCAGGAAGATGGTATATACAATCTACAAATATAATGAGCTTTGCTTACGCCATTGGAAACATCCCAGCTAAGCATCATCTTAGCTCGTTCTTCAGCCTCCGCAGACCCGTCCAAAACAAGGCCAAAGCCCCCATTGATCACTTCACCCCTAAAAGGTACAATTGTAAAAAAAATTAAACCAAAAGAACCCAAGCCAATCCCACAAAATTTGCAGAAGTGAATTTGTTCGGTTGCACTGAAGAAAGAAGGATGAGATCACAGGAACGGTGCTGAACAAAATACATTATCAATGACCTTTTATGCCTTAAAAAAGTAGCAGGGCAAAGGCCTAGTCTGGAACAGGGCAGAAAACCTATGCTGTCTTCCCCATAACGTCCAGCTAGCAGTCAGTGTCTGCTCCAAGCGCCAGTGCCAAAAACTAAGCCTGCTCTGCACCTCCTGAGGACTGCACTCTGTATGGGCTTTAGAAACAAGCAAAGAAATGTTAGTGCTTCTGATGACTGAAGAGTTACCTATCCTAGGGATTTTTAAAGATTAAATAGTTCATATTTGCCACCCCAGGGCCTGCTATATAGACTGGATCGTGAGAAGGACTATGTACTTATGGAAACAGACAGATGGATCTATTTATATTCTCTTGGGACAAATAAGAGAGTGTTTTATTTAAAAAAAGTGTTAACCACCACTTAAAGCACATCTGCCCCAGTCACGTCAAAATCAGTCATTTGTTTTGTATGAGACACATAGATGTTTAAAGACATCAGAGCCAACTTTTCAAGAAGCAGACTTATTGGCAGGAGAGGAACAGAAATACACTACAAACTAAGAGATATACTTGGGAGAAATACCAGTCTGGTTTTAAAAGAACAGGGAAAAAAACGCAGAGCAAAACATCTTGTCTGACTTCAGGATCTGGCCTGCTCAAGTTCCTGTTTTGCTGCATGTGGTGAATAGCAGTGAGGACAGCTGGAAAATTATCTATTGCTGTAAATCTGGACGAGAGTTCTGGCATTATAACTCAGCATCAGCAATATTTGAGAGAAAGGGGGCATATCCTACTCACAAATACACACGGTACAGGAGAATACTAATGGAGGTCCCTAAAAGTAGAATTTGTCCTCTGTGATTTATAGCTAATGTAAGTTCACAACATTTACACAAAATAACATTGGACATATCCACGAATCAGGGTAAAGTTAGGTGTCTCCCAATCAAGTATAGATTTGATTCTTACTGTACATTTTCCAGCAGCAACCTGAGCTTCTCAAGAAACAGGGTCTTTGCTCTCCTCTCTTAGAAGGCTATATCAGAGCCTGACAGACCTGAGATCTACTTCTTGGAATTAGAACTCGCATTTTCCGATTTTCAGTGTTATATTGTTACTTATATGATGTTAATCCCCTTTCACTAGTTACATGTACCAGCGGTACGGTGAGTAGGGGTTTGACATAGGTGAGCGTGGAACTTGCTGAGAACTCTAGATCGCACGTCGTGTTACTATTCTCCGAACCCCCCTTGCTTTACCATTATTAGAGCTGGCTGAAACAAACATAATTCTCTTGAAATACAGTTTTCTTGAAACTGACAGTTCTCATAGCAAGATGTCAGCTGAGGCATCAGTTTCTTAGAGCTCGCAGGGAAATCTGAAACAAAGTCATGTTTTCTGGGGAGATGTTTGAATATTGTGAGTGCTGACATTTCAAAATGAGATATTTCTTTTTGAGTGACACTGCCAACACTTTTCAGCCTGAAATTTAATTCCAAGCAACTTTTTACTGTGTGAAATATTTCATTAATTATGCTCTCAGTCTCATTTTGGGATGAAAACAAACATCCAAATTTTTGCATTTCTTGCAAACACACTACTTTTTAAATACCTCTTGTTGTCATTGTCCTCTTAGAAGGAGGCGGCCAGCCTGACTACAACATTACAAATGTCACCGTTTGAAGACCAGGGCCAGTTACCTCATTACACTCTATTTTTTTTGTGTAGATAGACCAAATCAGCAGTAGTCTTTTTTTTTTTTTTTTTTTTTTTACTAGCAAAGTACATTTTGTGTCCACATCTAATGGGCCATCCAAAATTGCAGCTGTAAAGCATCTTTTCTACAAGCAGAGGAAAAAGTGCATCCCATGTTGTTGTTCACATTGACATTACTCTAAGCTGTATGTGCAAATCGGTTTCCTTATGGTCATTTGAATACAGATTGTTTTTAGAGGAGCTGAGGAGTCCTCTCAGCAAGTGGAGTGACTCTCATTTCACACCAGCAGAAAGGATCAGAATCCAACTTGGATCTTGGACTGAAGTGTTGCTTGCACAAGTTTAATTGATAGTTGAATTCATTTCCTCATGACTAAACCCAGCAGTGATATAATAGTAATGTGGCTAGGTAATCTTGACTGCTAGCAAATGCCAAAGGGATACAAGTTACTGTCTAGAGTAACATTCATTCCTGAAGTGGGCAAATGGACACCCACAAGGGCAATGCCAGTTTATTCTCTGCTGTATCTGGTTTGATTTTGTCCCTTGAGATTACCTGAGAGCCTGTGCTGAAATTCCAGATTCCGCTTCCAGTCACATAAACCCAGATCATCAACATCAACATGTAAGAGAGATCATAGTATAATCACACCTCAAGTCAGCCTATTGACAATATTGGACAATAAGAGAATCAAAGCTCTGGACTGGTGCTTTCTAAAGATATTGTACACTGGCAGATGATGTTCTTTCAGTGGCAAAGATCCCCTCTGTGCACAGCATCCCAAAGAGCATCCTTTGAAGCTTAGGCATGAACAGTAAGCGTCTGATCTCACTTGCACTCCATAAATTTAGAGTCTCTCCATCAATTTCCATGGAGTTACTCCAGTGTAAATCAGAAGCACTCATCAGAATCTGTCCTACTGTCTAAAAATCACTCATAAATTAAACACCAATGTTTGTTAGGATGGATTTTCTAGGAAAACCTCTCACTTTTAAAGGGGAGTTCTCTGCCTTCATTAGCATTGGGTCATATTTTAAGGTAATTAAAGAAACATGTGGCATTTTGACCTAAGCTACCTCCTATAATTTCCAGATGTCTCCCTTTAAGGTGATCAAAGAAAACAAGGCCTCTCTCAATCAAGATGTCACACTGTCAACAGTGTAGTTCAATTCTTAAATTACTTCTGCCTTTTTGTTACTACAGGTTACTCAGGCTCTGCGCTAATATACATTCTCCTGCAAATAAACAGGCTGTAAGAAATGAATGACATTCATTTGTTGTAATTATGGTCAAGAATATGTTAATCTTAAGTCTCGCAAACAGCACATGTGATGCAGATTCCAGCTAAATAAATATTAATCCTGCTTTTTCTGTTTGCCCCCATAAGGCTATAGCTCTGAAAATCAAAGCACGTAGAAGGCATTTCTCTCTTTGGGAAGACATACCAGATCTGTCAACAGTTTCAGGCAAGCCTAACCTCTGCAAGGAAGATTAGCAGCTGAACACAGTGCAATTGCCATTTCTGAACTCTCTGAATAGAGGCATTCCAATGGCAATTTGATTTCTTTCTTATCATGTGCATATCTGTTTATAAATATAGATCAGCTTCCATATGCACTTTCACACCTCCATATCAACTGACTACAAGAAGATGAGATGCTTATTTTATCAGGCACGTGGAGATCTCTTTATGGCAAAGTCAACCAAATTTTTACCTCTCCAGAGGCAAAGAAAAACACGGTCCTAAAAACCTAAAAGCATCTTGCTCTTCCAGGCAAAGAAAGTAATTTGTAGTGGTAGGGGGTTGGTTTTGTTTCTTTTCCCACCTTTAAATTATACCTCTCTTTCTCCTTAGAAGGAAAAGGCAGAGGGGGATAGTGCTTTAACTAGCCAAGGTGGTGCCACGATTAGTTAAGCCGAGCAGAACCACCTGTCGTGCCATGGCTTTCGGGGGCTTTCCAGACTGCGGCACCTAATGACACGACATTGTTACCACGTCTGAGTCTCAGCATGGTGGCTTATTAAGGCTCGTACAGAGACAGGCCTAATTTTCAGGCTCCGCATTCTTCACTGAAGCACAATAATTTAATCACAGAGGGCTAAGACTACTCCCAAGAACAAGGTGAGCAGATACTGTTCCATAATGACAAGCCACAAAGCAGCCTTAGCAACTGGTAGAGAGGAAAATCAGTCCCTGCTTTTCCATGGATGTTTTGATCTTAGTGAACAGCTACATGCTAATTTTCCTGTTCTTTATATAAGTGACAGTACCTCTGCTCTGCCTTCAGGGATAGCTTCTTGCCGGTGATGTAACTCCACTTAAGGAACTAACTGAAACAGTGTAACTGAAATTGTGGTTTGGCCAGTGCCAGTTTTACAGAAGTAGGGGCAGTCTCACCATTTGACCAATCTCTCTTTACATTGCTCAGAGAGGAGCAATGCAGGAGGGACTGGCCTTGCAAAGGCCAGAGGGAGATGAGGAATATGATCATTTGTACAGTTAGAATTTTGAATAAACATAATCAATGAACAGAACAAATAACTGCTGGCATAAGCAATTATTTTATCAATTATAATAATTAAAACAATCAATTATCATAAAAAATATTCCAAATACTTCGAACAATACACATTTGAAGGTGATTGTCTTTGCCTGTGTTTCACGACCAGATTTTTTAAAAGGTTAAACTCAACAAAAGCTATTCAAACAGACCTAGCCTGCTGCAATCTGTAGAGACAGAGACAACCAGAGTAGGTAGGTATGCCAGTATGCATTTTCCATCTGGAATTCTAGAAGGTATGAATAAAAATCCTAGCCTTGATGGTTACCACTGAAATCAGTAGAGCCAGATTTTCACAGCATATGATTAAGTCCTCAGAGACCTTTCTCATTCCATGGTCTGATTTTGCTCTTGCATACCTTCTATTCAATAGCCACTTCACTGAAATCAAAGTTAGGTAGACAGCATGGGAGGGAATTCTCCATTCAAGGGATTTCAAGGGATATTTTTGTAGCTCCAGCTCACCAGGACAAGTAATAATCAAATATCCTCAAGCATTTCTGAGGGTAACACCTGCAACAAATTCTTTAAATCTGGCTTGCTCTTGTTAGCACATTCTGGAGAAGCTAGATGGAACAGCTGAGTGAGAGGGATCATTATAGTATTTAATAGAGGGGAGTTCCCCTTTTGACCAGCTATGCCACAAAATGGAGGCATGACTGTAAATGGGAGACGCTTTGCTGGACTGTGCCAGAATGAACAAATCAGGCTATCATCCCTGCAGTGCAGCCACTCTCTTTTTCTCCAAACCTATGCCAATGCAGAGTCCCTTTAGCAGCATATGAAGGACATGAATTTCCCTCTCCATATAGGATATTTCTCTCATTCTGCTTCTCAGCTTAGGCATTTCTCCCAGTTCTGTGTCTTATGTGAAGAAGGAGCAGTTTAATCAAGTCCTTACTTGGCTGTGGTCTTTTATCCTACCAGGCATGAGCACGGGGAGAGAAGGGAGAGTGGGGGGTTTGCTGGCACCTGAACTGTTTTGTATCAATAACCCCTCGTTGCACTTTAGCACATGGGCATTTATATTGGGGTCCTAAGGTCATAGATTTAAATGCAGCTTAAGGGGAAACCTAAACATAATCCATCCACTAACACTCTGTCTGTGTGTTTGTGAAGACAACTTTGGAAATGGGGTCTGTTCAAAAAGACCATGGCAGACTGTCCTTATTTGGTAAATTAAGTTCCCCAAACTGTGCCGTGGCCAATGTTCGAAACACTTTTTCTTGACATACGGACATTAATTAAAAAAGCCTCATACAACACCATACTTCACCTTACAATATATCCTTTCAGCCCTTATCTCCAAACCCACCCTTCCCATGATCACAGCATTGTACTACTCCAGTTATACATACCACATCTTCTCTGCAGTTCCCTCCCAGTCTCTCTTCCCCACACACATACACAGCAGTGATAACTGGATTGAGAGTCCACCTTTAGAAACATAAATCAGGTCTCCTTACCAGCCAACACCACCACCATTGTGCAAGGCAACCCAGGTAGCTCCTCTGAATGCATCTCCTACAAAATTTTGTACCGCCATGTCTAGGAGGAGAGGAGAGGTGTTACTATGGCCCTGAAACACTACGCTTGGTTTTGTTGTGCTTGCTCATTCCTTCCACTGACGCCTTCATTGTGACTGTATGAAGGCAGCGTTGGAAGCAGGATTTACTCATAACTGCTCTCACAGATATACAGTGAGCACATCTCATACTCGGGAGAAACAAGCGAGAGAGATTATTTCTCCTTTCCTCCCCTCCCCACAGCAGGGGAAGCAAAAGCCAATTTCCCACTGTGGTTTGTGAGAACTCTGGTGCTCTCTGTATTTTGATCAAGTTCAAGCAGTAGAAGAACCTACCATTCCTCAGCTGGGAGTTACCTCCTGAGGGTGGAAAGAAATACAGTCCACTCATTGGGATGCCTGGACACATCCATGCAGAAGCTTACAACATGGGGGAACGTTTTTGAAAACCTGCACATCTCGCAGCTCTCAGGAGAACCTGAACTGAAGTGGTTTCAGATCGAACTGCAGAGTTAATTCAGCCTTGTGCAGAAAGCCCATCTAAAGCTCATGAGCTGCATTTTGGGAACACAGCTGGGCTGGAAGTGGTATGGCCTTGATTCTCTGGACATGGAGGAGTTTTACCCTAAACCCTGTAACTACAGAAGTCACGTAAAATGTTTATTACAAAAAAAGGAGAAAAGTAATTTAGGGGACTAACGGAATGCATGGCTTCCACCAAAACGTTCACTAGAATTTCATATAAGTCATGCAGTTGAAGGCACCAACCTTTGCCACCCCTATACATGTGCTAAAGGACATGGGCTGAGAAGGGGAAAGAGATGCACACAGCAGAGAATAATGGGGTGAAACCCACTGAAAATGCATCCAAATTTTTAATTCAGGAGTTATAGATCATTTGCTGTGGTTTTAAAAGTAAAAATAAGAGACAACTAACCATATCCTCACAGCCCCATTTGCAGACCCGCAACTGTTACATGTCTAATGGAAAAATGAATTTACTCAAGCACCAATCTATGTTAAACCCTGTCAAAAGCCCCATTATGGCATCTTTTATGTGGCATTGTGTCACTTTAATAACCCAATTATCATAATTACAGTGCTGTCAAGAGGGCAGGGGAACGGAGAGATTAAAAACCTCATGTTCTATATAACGTACAGATTTTTTCCTCAGCCACTAGCACGCTAAGAGTCAAGGTTAGACAAGGAGTGTGGCAAGTGGGCTAAGTATGTAACAATGCCCTGTTCCTTGGCTTCAATAAAGGACACTAATTGAACAAACGTCTGTCTTGAAATACACTTTGCAGAGCAGCAATGACCCATGCTTGGCCAGGGATCAGGCTGAGGTACTTACTCTGAATGGAAATGAGACAGGGAAACATTCTGAAAAAATTCAGTGTGTCAGAGGAACCAATTTCAATTGAACCAGCATAAATGTTGTGGTGCTAAAATGACAGGAAATGGGTGAGAGGAAGACCTAAGATGACCTTGTACTTTCTCCAGAAGCTCATCTGGTGAAACAGAAAGTTAGGCCTGATTTCCAAGACCAGTGAAACCAGTGGTCTGCAGGCTTTGGATAAGGGCAAACGGCTCATGTAATTCAGAAAATACAAACAAAAACAGGTAGTGTGATAAGCAACTGGATTTAGCAAGCCTTTTTTTCCTGTTGCCCTCTTCTGTGGCCATTGTCTGGGGTTTACTTATGTGGTAACATTAATTTGGATCACTCTTCTCTGTGCAGCTTCACCATTTTCACACATCTTGTCAGAACCAAACATTATTTGAGGCCTCTATCCATCTGCTCCATTAGAACGAGCCAACATACTCAAAATTATTGACGTGGTGCTGATAGACACACAGCTACAAGCCTATTTTCATCAGGAAATCAAATTAAGATAGCAGGGAACTTTCCTCCTTAAAACTGAGCCATAATTTAGTTCTATTATGAACTCCTGGTCATAATGGAAGTCATGCAATATTCTCAGCTACCTCAATCATAATTTCTCCTTCTACAGCAGCTTGAATCCTCATATCTCAAGTCACTTCCTGACTGCCAATTCACGACATGTGGAATCACCGGTGGGCTAAAGCCATTATTATCATTTCTACTTTACGGATAGAGAATTGAGGAAGATTTAGGTTAAAATTTTTTTTAGCATTTCACTCATTTTTCATGTCTCCAATCTGATATTTCTCAGGTTTATTTTTCTAAAGTGCCATTTCACAATCTCAAAAGCAAGTTCTGGTTAGCTCAGGTCAGGTATGCAGAACTAAAGGCTCCTTTTGAATAACAAACCTATGTGATTTGCCCACAGTCACACTGTGAGCAAGCAGCAAGGCTTGGAATCTAATCCAGAACTCCTGACTCCATTCTTGTGCTTTTACTATCAAAGTATGTTCCCATATGACCAGAAAAGGTCCTTTACAAACACTCCAGACTGTTTTCTTGAGTCCTGGTACAGTGAATGAACAGAGCTGTGAATCTGTGTCCTTTAAATTAAGTACTTTTATAGACCTGATTTTGATCTTGTATATCCCAAGGAAGTACGGCCATAATTTTGCTCAGATCACCTCTTTGAAACCTGGAGGTGAAAAATTAAAATCAAATATAAGATATAGTCCTCTGAGACAGACTGTTCTCCGTTTACATTTAGGTAAATCTGGTGCATCCTCACTGAACTTTCAGCATTGCTTCAGATTTATACTATCATTGTTCTGAGCCTCTCATATTTAACTAGGTCAACATTCATCTCTGTATCACTTTTAAATCCCACAAAGCTTCTATGTCAAGTTCACAGGAAATCTGATTAATTGGGATTAAAGGGTTAAACAAAAACATTTTAAAAATGTTGCATTAAAAATTTCTCTTTTAAAGCAATTTCCTTGTTTGCCTGGACAGACAAGTCTCAGCTGCTCTGCTGACCTGCGCAGAAGGCTGATCCATCATAAATGTTTGACGTTTCTCTGTAAGGACTGTCGGTCCCACTCACATCATGGTGATCTCGGCTGAGAACTACTGGAGCCTGGAAAAAGCCAAAGACAAGAAAACAGAATCTTTCATGGACTGTCGGTGCTGCCAATAAAAGATCATCTGCTGCTGATTTCACTGCTGTCTCACCTCATTCAAATCTTAGCTGAAAACAACTTTATTCCCTTGCCCTCTGAATCTCCTTCCTCTGCTATTGTTTATTCCACTAGAAATGTTGACACGTGCATGAGAGTCACCACCATTTCATAACTGAGAACAAGAGCTTGTTTTCATGACAAGGATATCCTCAAAGCAAGGCAGGGAAGGGAAGCAATGTAACTATTTCATCTGAAGCGCTTCTTTGCTGAAATTTCAAAGACATTTCAGCTTGCAAAAATGTTCATTCAAAAATAGTTCCGGTTTTGAACAGTAAAAAACACTTTACTTTTTCATCTCTTGGAAGATTTTAAGATTAGAAATAAGGTGACAAGGAGAATTAGTAAACTCATACAGCTCAGACAAGTCCGCTCTTGATTTGGAATTTAACTGCCACTATGAATCTAGATCAGCTCGCAGGTTTTCATTATCCTTTGCCAGGCACAGGGTTTATACAAGAGCAATTCACTCTCTTGGCATGGTGCGGTCTGGAATTAGCTGGCTGTTTTATGCTGGCAGTGAATTAGAAAATCATTGAAAAGAGACATAAACCCAGCTTCCAGAGAGGGAATGGAGATTTTGAAGAAATGAAAAAAAAAAGACGCAACAAAATCTGAAGGGCCTGGGAGTCTGACCTTGTCAGTCACTGCTCCAAGGGAGCGCCCTGTCTGGTCAGGTTTATTTTTTAAGATCAGCTTGCAGTGACGTTCATTTTGAATCCTGAGAAGGTCAAGAGTTTCTGAAATATTTTAGCAAATGTTTTCTGAGTTAAAAAAAAAGAAAAAAAAACAGACCTTGCTTAGCTGGAATCTGTTCTAAGTTTTACTTGAATTTATCCCTTTAAAAAAGGTAATTGCTGTAGTTTGGCTATATAAGAGAGAGAGATGAATGAGTGAACATGTCTAGGTCTGATGCTGCTGCATACACAGTCATGAGCGAGTACAGATGCTGATGAAACCTACTTGTGAGCAGTAATCACACCCTTTCATAAGCTTTACCATCCAGAGAATGAAAGAAAGAGTGATTTGAATCAAATTGGTAAATGTGAGGTTACAGATCAATTTGAGCGGTGCAAATTCAGATGGTGATTCAACCCTTGCAAAAAATCACTAAAGGTCTGACACAAATCGTTTTGGTTTCACAGTGTGTTACAAAATCTTAGAGGTGTATCTGCAGAGACAAATATTCATTCCACCTGTACTTGGAGCTGCGCTCTAATACCTCCTGCCTCCCAACAGAGCTTACTAGCTTGGGATGGTGCTACAACAAAATGGCTTCCAAGCTATCCATATCGTATATATGGCAACTGAACCCTACTGCAACACCAGATCCTCTACAGCATTAAATAATGGGTATAATTAGTGTGTGGAGTCTTCAGAATTTTGGTCTGCCAGGATGTCACACCGTACAGCCACACGCCATACTCATGAAGAGCTTAGAAAATCCACGTGTTCTTTCCATGAAACGTGTTTCTATCACTGCCACACAAGCTCAGTGGGATTTTAACCAAGTAAGATACTACTCATTATGCAGTACAGTAGCAGCATCAGGTCTAATGATTTTCTTCATTCACATAAGCAATGCAAATGAGTGTTGACTGCAGAGCTGGCTGTAGCCATAATATGACCGAAAGCAGGGATAGAGGGGAAGAAGTGCCAGGTAGTGGCATGGCCTTTCTTGTTATTTGGCCTGCTTTGGGGTACTGCTAAAGGAGTTAGAGTTCCCGCCTTGTATCTCCAGCAAATCTTCTCCTCTTGCAAACAGTACGATAAACAGTGCTTGTAGGTGCCCAAATACAAAATAAGGCAGATTTCCAACATGAAATCAAAGGTAGCATATTTCAGAGAGAGTTTCTAAACCTGTCTCCCTTCTGTTACACAGGGCAATACCGGTGACATTAGACAGAGGAAGATTAAGCCATAATAGATGCTAACAGAACACTGGACCCACATACATGGCAGGTATTTCCATTCTCATTGGCTGAAGCTTTTCCCTTCCCACCTGCCAACCCAGTCTTGGATATTAAACAAAATTGCCAGATCATATCAAATGGAAAAAGCCAAACCTTAATCTTTCCTTCAGAAATCGCTTGATTAATAGCCACGGCTATAGATACACGACCCCTCTGATCAGAATATAAGATTCTAGCTTGAGAGCCAACAACCTGGAGGATAAAAATGCCAGAGATAAGGTTCCCTGTGCAACTGGCTTATCTTCAGGCCCCAGATAAATGGAGTTATACGATTGCCCCACCTCTGTAGGAGAAAGCACAGATTATTCATTCATCAACACCCAGCTTCCAGAAAAAAGAAATTAAAGTCCCCCTTTGAAAAGAGTTTTATCTCCACTCACGCAATCAGTGAGATGCATTTCTGTATTCAGCTGCTACTGTCCAATAAATCCCACTTTTTAAATCAACCTGATTGCTAGGCTCTAATCCCCCTATCAACAGACACCTTATCAACAGCTGAAAAGTAGAGGTTTGGAGTCAGCAATGGTAGGCTGGAAAATAAATACAGAGACAAAGAATGGCAATGAACATCTGTCCCGCACAACTGTGCTCCTCTCCAGCTCTTATTCCACAAGCCAATCTGGCTTCCAGATGAGGAGAGCATGCATAAACCCTACGGTGTTGCCAGTTAGTTTCACAGTGTGATTCTGCCCTAAAAGAAAAACAAAGGCTGTTTCACTGTGCCGGGCTTCCCATCACGCAATAGGACGATGCAGTCTTTTTGCCTCATCACTTGTTTTGAAAGGGTACTGGGAACTGCAGGGCTGAAGAGGTAGGGCCAAAGAAATGCCAACGAGGACATTTTGTATAGCTCCAAAGGAAAGGTAGTGACAAATGCGGTGCAAGATGAATCACTCGGGCTTGTTTCTTTCCAGAGGCAAGATGTTGCTGGTGTATTTGGACGTTTCCAGATGAGGAGAGGAAGGGTTCGGTTCACCCTAAAACCCTGCTGTAGAGAGATGTTTAAGTTGTCCACCCTCCCTCAGTAGAG